TCTAGGAAGACATATCTGTTTAAAACATCCATTGCTATGCAGAATACTACCCTACAACATCCAGTTTTACTAAAAACTCAAAGCCTTCCAAGAAATGTAAGACCTGGCTGTGTTACCCTTCAAAAGCTTTAGTGTTCAGGTCTTTTTTTTAAGAACTGAACTAATGTACTTTTATAATATTTTGCTACTCTTATCTCCATTTGCTAATAAGAGTCAAAATGCTCTGTTTTGTAAAACCTCATTACAACTCCTTTTCCTTTATCTGTGAGTCTCAAATTAACTTGACATAGATGTTTTACATATATCTTAGGCTAAATGTGAAGTATTCCCTTATGCCCATGAGGCACTCAGAAACTTAGTAAGTTCTGCTTTCAAGGACTCTCTAAGTGAGGTTATTAAAATTCAACGATTTGTAAATTCTGATGGGGAAAAACGCTTGCCCAGACAACAAGAGGTCAATTCAAGAAAGCTTCTCAACCTCCATATGGATGGCCACTGAATTCCTTGAGCCAGTATTTGTAAAATCAAAATTAGAAAATGTTATCAGGGAGGAAGAAAAGTGTAGGAACTCAGGTCCTGCCCAGAAGTAAAAATCCATAACCATCTGTTGTTTGTGTTACATGGATTTCACAACTGTCATCTCCACTGTGTATGCCATTTCATTTTCACAGCAATATCACCAAAACACCCACTGAGATAAAATCACAAATATTTTGAACATACCATATGATACATTATTTTCCAAATTAATATTAGACAAAGTCAAAATGAGGACTTGTCTATAGGTTACTTTTGTGCTGTCACATGAAAAATCCTTCAAGGGTTTACTACTGTTTGGAAACACTTAACTTCAGACTTGAATAAGTTAAGCAATACTGAAGAGAAAGGAAGATATTAAATACTATATTTTTAAAGTACAAGCATGTTTTGAAAATTTGTAATGGCCACTCCATACATTTTTATAGCATCTTTCTTCAAAAGTAGTCTAAAGATGTGTTTTCAACTATTTACTCAGAAATACCTTGCAGAATTTAAATGAACCTTTTATGTTTTCTGAACTTCAGACCAGCAAGACTGTCCCACATTTCACAGATGGGTATGGCTTGAAGGATTTAACAGCTCTCAAGCTAATCTTCATAACGCAGTGTTACACCAAAAAGTTCTTTTTGAGAAAAAAACAAACAAACGAAAGAAACAAAAATTGCACACTGAAACTGCCCTTGTAAAAATGACAGAAAGAAAAAAAAAGACAGAAAAAGAGTTAAGGTCCAGAGAGCAAACAAACTGCTTTTTGCCTGAGGAAATCTAAAACTCAAGGTCAGCTCTGTCTGAAATCACCAGACCTGTCACATGGCTTTCATAGCTGCCACTATGGCTCCTATCAAACCCACTCTGAAAGCAATGAAAACATTTTTACTGGAAACAGATCAAGCTCTGATAAGAAGCTCCTTAATCACTTTGGCTGATAACACTGTGCAAAGTGAGAGGCAAAGTTTTGAAAAGGAGAAGAATGAACTAAGAGAACTTGAGGTCAAATCTGTTTGACTTTTTTCTTTAATTCCTTAATTTCTCTGTATGTTGGAGCAGAAATATGACTCTGTAAGTATACGGATACATACACATTTTATATGCATAAGAATACATACATGCACATACATTTTATACATGTATCTTTTCATATACATACAGGAATACAGTGCTGTGTGGATAACTCAATTAATTCCATTTTATCCCAGCTTCTGTCCTCCAGTAACACAAATCTGGTGGTCCCAATCTCAGTCCCTTGGGTGTGGGAATCCATCACAAACCCATCACCCTTAATTTAACGCAATTGACAGTGTCTGCTCAAGAGAGGCAGAAGAAGGAGTTACCATGGAGACTGAACGACTGCTCTTCTCCAGAGGATGCTTTTATCAAGCATGGCCTGAACAGTAGATGCTGTGCAATACTTGTAACCTTAATCACATCACTGGATCTTGCTTTTTAGGATGCCTTTTTAGTACACTCTAACACACATCAAAAGGTTGGGGTGTGGTGGAGGAAGGAAGACACAGCTTAAAAAACCAAACATACCAATCCCCTAAAATACAATAGAAAACAGTATGAAACTGCATAGTGTGCCAGATTGAGAGAGAAAAGGAATTTCATATCGATTTGATTTATCAGATTTGTCACCTCTGCCTGGTGCTTTCCTAACGGAGTGAATGCTGTGCTTGACCTATTTGCTGGAATTAATCAGGACTGCAGAAAACCATATGGATTGCCAGATGGTCTGCTATAATTTAATGCAATTATTCTAAGTATAAAGTAAGTGATAAATATAATTAATATTCTTTTAGCTCCTTACTGGAGCTTTTTTCTGAGGCTTGGAAGGTAAGTTAATACCCTGTTGCTGAAACACAGATGCCAGCAAATTACTGCAAGAGGCTGCAGTCTCCAAAGCAAAAAGTGTCTGCACAGAGTCTAACTTATTCACTGACCCCACTGTGATGATTAATAGGTTGAAAGCTGTAATGAGGATGACAGAACTTAGATGTTTTCAGGTTATCTTAAATAGTAGCATGATGAGCAGTGTGTGTACATATCACACTTCATAGTAAACAATGCACCTTGTACTTGTGGCCTGAAGGTGTATTTCACATCCCAGCACATCAAATGTGAAGGAAGAATCAAACCACCTTCAGACAGTAAAAACAATGAAGTGACTTCCTTCAGAAATGTTTTTCCAGATTGCTATTTCATATTCTGCCAGTGATTGTCTAAATGGCCTAGTTTTTAGGAAGTGGTCCTAGAAAAGCTTTGGCTTCAAAGAGTGTTTATATCAGGGAGAGTCGTCATTCTCAGCATTTTAAAATCACGAGTCTGTTAGAAGATATCCAAACAACTCTGCTTACTGTTCCTGTGCTAATAATCTTTGTAGTAAATGGGCTAGGTGTGAGCAGAATGAATAGCAAACAATTTTGTAGTTTTTAACGCAAATATACAAATGGAGTTAGCAACAGGTAATCAGAACAGCCAGAAAAGTACTAGAGATAAGGCAGAAATACTGAATCTTTTGTATTTATTAGAAAAAGTTGTGCACATTTAACCTCACAGATAAACATGACCAGTTAAATGTCCAGAGATTTGCATGTGCACTATTAATAAAATCTAGGCAAACTTTGACCAGACAGAAAAGGCATAAATTAAATGCTATACAAAGAACACAACATAGCAGCACCTGCACTATAGAGCAAACCTGCTTTACATTGTTAAAGGAGCTCAGGGTCAGCAAGTCATAGCATATGAAAGCAGCTTTTCAACATCTGTGTTCTTCTCATGCTCCAGATTGCTTCAGCACTTGTTCAGAGGCCTCCACAGTTACACTCTACAGTGCAAGTGCTGATGCACCCTTAAGAAAGTGCTACATTAGGGGGGACTTGAATGTGATGAAACATACCCTCTTTTACTCCAGTCTTGTGTGAGTAATAACTTCAAGTCATTTCTTCACCTGGTGAATTTTAGTGAATTCTCACTTGACTATTGTCACTGGTCCCATAAAATCCTTTATATTTTTCCACCAGCATGTGAATAACTTCTGATTTTCTATTAGTATATGAATAAAAACAGTATCTAAATATCTGAATAGCATGCTTTTGTTGATATTGATACCATTTGTCAAGATATCTTGACAAGGTCTCTGTGATTGACAGAATTTGAAAAAATTCCATTTTTCCATCCCATCAAGAGAAAAGTATTTACCTGAGGCGCTAAAGTAATGCCATGATGCCCCCAACTTCATTATTGTAGTCAGAGGAGAAAGAGAGGTAGTTGGAGAGAGCAATCCAGATAGTCTGATCCTCTTTGTAGACATGCTCCTTACTTCCCTGACTACTAAGTAAAGTAGGGCCATTCATGTGTCAGAGATTACGGAGACTGAAATAAGAGAAAAAAAACTTCCATGCTGAAAATGAGACTTAATTCATCCTCTAAGAGATCATTTGTTGAACCTGACAATACTTTACTTTGCTATTACATAAATACCACTTCTGAAAAATACTGGAGTGGTACTCTTCAGTGATTAAAGAGCTTCGGTATCAGCATGCTATCGGTACAATGTTTGCAGACTCAATGTCTATACATTTACACATATGTACATATACATAAACACACGTTTATAAATGTATACATTTAATTGCTCCATCAGTGCAAATAGTCAGATGCTCCAGGTACCTCTGCTACCTCTTAATATTTAAAGAAAGGGAAATACCAGATCCCTTGCCTGAATTCACACCTTTAAACTGTCTAAGTGTTTTGCTTAAGCAGCAGCTAGCTCTCACCAATACTTAAAAGAGAAAAAGTTCTGAAAAAATAAAGAAACCATGCAGAATTTAACAAGTAAGTCTTTGGGGTTGATAGACACACAAAGCCTGTCAAAGCAGATTTGACACTTAGTTCTTAAACATAGATTTATACTTTAAAATTCTTTTACCTCTGTCTTGTTCTTTACTTGCTTGCTTACAAGAAAAAAGGTATCAGAGAATTTATGTTCAGTCCCAAGAATAAGATTGTCAGCATCTTAGCTGTCATACAGATGGCATGTTTGAAGCATTACTCTTGGCCTGAATGGAGAATAGGATTTTAGGACAAATAAGTACCAGATATAAACCCCTTGTATACAGAGGCTTGCATACTTGTGGCTCATGAATGAACCTTCATTGCCACAATAACTTTCTGTGATTAAGTTTCATCATTGGATTTACTGAGAGATCTCACCAAGGTAATGGAAACTGACCAAATTTACCCCCAGACCTAGAATAAATTATTTGGGCATTGATTTGTTGGGAAATTATACTTTCAAATATTGTGAATTTAGGGAAAGACTGTAAAATCCTTATTTATTTAAATTACCTAGGGAGAGGAATGAAGAAAAAGTCCTACAAGGAAAAAATGCTTTAGGGCCATGAAAGAAAAAAAAAACAACCAAGCAATATTATTTACTAATTTCACTAATGTCTTACCTCCTGCATACATGACAGCCAACATTATTGATGATATCCAAGCTATCTCACTATATGATGTGTGGAAGATCTCTTGTATTTCTTTGAAGAACACTGTGATGGCTTTGGGGAAGGCATAAGAAAATCCAATGGAGATAAAAGCCCCAAAGACCACAACCCATCCCCAGCCTCCATCAGGAGGTGGATAATCTGGTGCTCCAGTTGCAGGTGGCATTTTTTGGTCTCTGTCTCTTCTCCAACTAGACTGAAAAACAAGGAAAGAAACAGGATGCCATTTTTTTTTCTTTTTCTTCATATCAAACTACATTATTCAATAGTCATCTAGGGATCACAAAAAACCCTCAGAGGAAAGATCAATTTCCGGCTTTCATGAGACCACAGAACGTGTTTTTAGAAGCATGTGGCAACTGTTTAAAATCACTGATCTCAGTCACTGAGGTTGTATTTGCAATTAGTCACTTATTGCAAAGTGACTAGTTTGTGTGGATTACGGTGTGGAGAAGAAACAATGGAAAAATGTTACACCTAAATTATAACTAAATGCTATAAATAAGTGTTAGTGAGATTTATTGGTACCGCAGCAAAATCGTCATCAACAGCAGAGAGGAACAAATTGCAAACATCTGAAAATAGAGATCTAAGGAGAGATCTAAAATTCCCTGAGAATCCGTAAAATAAATACATAGTATTACAATTCCATACTTTTAAGATTTTGATATTTTGATGTTGATATTATTTGCAGGAACAAGGTGGAGCTTGATGGTACTAATTTTGCTGTTTTCACATATCAGAAGATATTAGGAAGCTTTCCACAGCTCTTCTATAATTTAGAATTGACCGTAAGAGCTGCCATCACAATGATACCTTACAGAGGTTCTAAGAGGTGTAGCCAACACATTTGGGCAGCTCAAATCCACATAAAACTTCTAAGGCCTGAAATAAATTTCATATTGCTAATCTCATCCTCATATCTATAAACCTTACCTTTTTTTACATTCTGCATTACTTTTTTAGAAACTACTAGTGGTGAAAATCCATTTTTTTATTTCTGAGATTTTTTCCACTAACAAATCTCATTGCTATTAAACACTGAGCTGGAGTCCACTGCATTTTTTTCTATGTAATCCAGCCTACAGAGACAGTATGAACTGCAAATTCTTCTTTCCTCCCTGCTTCTTTCTTGGGCATTTAAGCAACTTATTACTCTTGATTGGTCTCCTGCCATACTAGTATTGAAATGTTAACAGTGAGTAGGTTGCTGTTATGCTTAGGATTACCAGCAAGTCTCTACATGATTTCTTCTGTGCCACTTACAGCATATTCCAATTTCTCACAGTAAACTGCATTAGCAGTGGGAGTGAGATGATTACCTTAACAAAAACTAAAAAAACCCAACTGTGTCAGCTTATACTTATCTCTTGGGGTAGTGCCTGGAGTACTTTAAATGTAGCACTGCATGCAATATATGCCACAAAACAAGCAAAATGTTGTTTTTAAGATTACCTACTACTTGGCTAACCCTGTGACAGAAACCCAGTGCACTTTTGATTCTCCAGTTCACTGAAGCTGATTGTAGACATCAGCTACAACCTCATGTAGCTGGCACACCTCTGGGGGAAGTTAAATCAACAACTAAAATATCTGACTTTTAGGCAAAATTTTAAAAGCCAGGTAGTTTGGTTTCTGCACCATATAACAGAGATTTCCTACTGGCAGCAATGGGTACTTGTTGCTCTGTACATGGAGCATATAAATCTTTTTATACACATGTCCAGAAAGAACCTCGGGTATGTACTTTGTTCCTGCTTATCCCAGCCTCAGTTTAATGTTGGTTCATTGAGAAAAGTCAGAGAGGAAAGCCACTAGAACGAGTTGGGCAAACAGAAAAAATTCTGGTTGCTGAGACTTAACTTTGTCAACACTGTTAAATACTACTTTGTTTTTGCTAATAAAGGTCAATTGGAAGTAAGAGTATCTCAGAAAGAGCCCACTGTAACTAAGAGCACAAATAAAAACGATCAACTGCATGTTCAAGAGCACAAAACCTCAAATTTGCCATAAAAAGCAGAATTCTATTTCTGTGAGTTAAGTGGAAGTAAAGAATGAGAGTTTGCCATCTATCCCAGAAAAGCTGTTGTTCCGCTCATCTGAGAAAACTTTTGGTTGTTTCATTAGAAACGGTTAACTATTGTTTTCTTACACTTCAAAAGCTTAAGCATATTTGTTTTCATATTTAATATTCACATGACAACATTTCTATCGCTATTATAAATTTTTGTAATGGCAAACAATATCAACACATTGCTCTTCATAAAAATGGCTTATCAATTTACTGAGGAAGCACTCCTTTTCCTAAAAATAATACAAAAGCACTTTGAAAAATCACAGCCATCACATTAGTCAAAAGAATGCTGAAGGTTCCTGAATGTCACTAATAAATGGTTTGGAGAGATCCCACTATATCCACCTCTTCAGGGTAGAAGAACAGGCTCTGAGAGTTCAGTGCTTTCCTCTCTTTAAAAGCCTCACAGTAAATTACAGGACCACTAAGGAGACGCCCAAAGGGACAGTGGCTGCTCCTGTGCCTTAGCCTGGAGGCAAATTGATGCAAAGGCCACTGCATGGTCCTGTCTGACAACCTACAGTGGGTATTACCCTGTTACAAAGAAGAGTCTGGATCACAGTATCTCACACCTCCTGTTTATCCCACGAAGTAGAGCTAAGAATAGCTTCCCTGATATTCCTTTATGATTATCATGGCCAATATTAGCTCCAGTCAATAAAAGGTGAAGAGGAAAAAAAAAACCAACAAATATATGTTTGTACCAAGGTGAAAATAAGTAGTTATTTTCTCACAAACATTAAATCCAACATCTCAAACATTCCATACATGCTCCGGAACTAAAGCAGTATTCTCCTGTAAAATCTGCACCTAATGTCCTGCCACAGTCCCTGAAACTGAATCCCTCCTAAAGAAGTCTAACCCATTAATATACCCAGCTCTAACCTAAGCCTAACTAGTAAGATTGAGTAATATAGGTAGTGTTATGACACGTGCAAAATCCATCAGCAACCAAAAAACCCCAGGATTTTACATTAATAGACAGAAATGTTGATAAAGGAAGAAGCAAAAGATAAAGGAATGAAGCAGTGATAATTAAAATGCCGTTTCCTATATAATTAAAATGTCGTTTTAACCTATATGCTTATAGGTTATTACTGTGAGAAGGAAAATAAATATGGTAGAAATCATAAAAACAAGCACAGCACCAGACCAAAATAAGAAAAATAGAAACAGCACTTGAGTAAATAAAGATCACCACCAGTGTTTTTAATCAGTCATATGCATTCCATCATGTGCTTAAAGCTAGCAAGTGAGCACAGCTCATACCTATGCCTTTATAGGCAAGCAGTGGGTGAGGAACACTGCCTGCCCCCTCCCAGGGAAGCAGCAGGGGAATAGTGACTGGAGTGGGTCCTGAGTGAAGCCATCAATCTCACTTCTCGCTGTCAAATACACAGAGATTCCTCAGCTTTTACATACCTTGAGTCAGATGTGCACAAGGATTTACTCCCAAGCTCCTTCTAGTTCTCCTGTATAAATCCCATTTATGTAAGTGGTGAACAAGAATACAGCTTACTGTAATAGGAGCTGCACGTGTCTGCTAACAAATAATAGGAGAGAAACAAGAGAAAACTTTTATAACATCTGATAAGGAACATTTTAATTGCCGTTTTCAGCACATTTGAACTTAATTAGGATATGAGAACTAGTGAGCAAAAGAGAGAAAGAGAAAAAAGAAAGAAGGAAGGCAGAAAGGCTAGATGTGAAAGGAAGGAAAAAAGGGAGAAAGAAAAAAAGAAAAAAAGTAGCAAGCAAGCAACAAGGTCAAACTAAGAGCAAACACTACAAACAAATAACGTATCTTGATATCATGTATTGTAGACTTCAGTCAGTTATAATAAACCTGTTCAAACTGCTCATGTTCCTACCAATGCTTCATTAATATTCTGCAGTTGCCAACTGCCAGAATCAGCTATCAATACAACAGCTTGTCAAAGATCCTTCTGGGAAGGGTTTATATTATTGTCTTGTTTACTAAGACTCTGATTTTACTTGGAGTTTTAGTTTTGTTTTTCTGCAATCTTACAGTAACTTTGTTTTCCTGCTTGCATTTTGTCTGCCTTGTCCTCAACGTACCTCATCACTACTTGACTCAGCAGCCACATGTCCCAGAGTAAAAGAACTGGCATATGAAAAATCTGTCTCCAGCTGCTGCAGGATAGTACAAATACTTCATATTTGTGTATTGCCCTCCAGCTCCAGACAGTAAGCCAAGAACTGCAAAAAGCTTTGCAAACTTGAGCAAAATCAGGCTTATAACAGCCCTATGAGGTGACTGAGAAGTATAATCCACTTTTAGACATGGGAAACAAGTGTGATAATAGAATGAGTAACTTAAGTCTTGTCCCAGATCAACATCAGAGCTGGCATGTGGACTAATGTCCAAATGAGATGTGCATTTTAGAATCTCATTAAGCAGCAAATGCAGATTATTTGTACTGCTGAATACTAGAACTAGGAGCTCAGGCGAGCTTGCTTTATAGGTTTGAATAGTCTGCTGCCCCAACTTACCTTTAACACACATTATTTACACTGCTGTATTTGAAATAAATTACTTTGTAGTAGCATTAGAACACAATGAGTTAAATAAGAATTATATTTTTATCAAAGATCCTTGCTTAAATGCTGTAAGTTTTTCAATTTTCATTAACTGCTCTTTAATGAGTTCTAAGCAGGATGGCAGAATAGCAGATACCATCTCATCAAACGTATTGCCTCACCAACTTCTGTAAGTTATTGTCATAATCTTGGGAACACCTTTTAGCCATTGAAGAAAAACGTATCTTGTTAGTTTTGTTAGAAGGCTTTGTTCCTACCTGACTTTTTTTTTTCTGGAGAAAGGGAAGATGTGCAAAGACTGTAAGGTTACAAGAGAGTTTGTTCTATGCTTTTAGCTCTAACTACTCAGAGCTGGAGGCAAAGTAGTTCCTAAGGAGCTCTGGTACCCAGCCTTAGAGAACAGGCTAATTGTCCTGAAATGTGAAAATAGTCTCCTATTTGTATTCAGAGGCTAAGGAGTATGTGATAAATAAAACCCAGGTGGCTGAAAGATGCACTCAGAGTCAGACTTCACTACCTTTTTTCCACTAGGGTCTAATCTTCAAGACAAATACATCCTGTGTGAAACCAAAAGCACTTAAAATGTGCACAGGCTAGACAGCATTTCAGAAAGCTGTTGGGTTTTGTAACATTTCTGCTACAGGCTTGAATCTAAGGGTCATGTCTGTAAATGCTTTCCAGACTTCTATATGACAATAAAATAATTTATATATATTATATTAAATTGTATTTATATGGCTAATGTTAAGAGTTTGCTACTCTTGCTAAAAGTCTAAGCAAAAATAATCCCCAAATCACCACTGTTACCTAAAGCCTATTTCACTTAATTCTTACAAATATATCTACAGGTATTTTAAGTCTAAATCTCTAGCTTATTGAGAAACAGAAGTTTTTTCCTGAAGAGCAGATGAAGAAACTAGCTCTAAATATACGTATCTATGAAAAAAAAATGGAATTATTTGCACTTAAGAATAAGCATTGTGGTGTATTTGTCATCCCACTGAAGCAGTAACAAAACAAGTGCCTGAAGCAGTGTGAGAAAGTAAGAGCCCCTCATGCATCCAAGGCAGACGTATGCTTATCATTGTTCCAACTGTCTAGGAGATTGGCAGAGGCAGGCTCCATGGAGGGAAGCAAAAAAGAGGGAAAGGCTTATGCCTTAGAACTAAAAGAGCAATCCCCATAACTTTCTTTCTTTCTTCTTAGGGTCTAGCATTTCAATGGAATGATTCTTAGGAACAGCATCAACTGGGCAGATAACTGGATGTCACAGCAAAAACATGTTGCTGAGCTATACAAGGATGATTGCAGATATGATCTCCTGATGGCTGTGGGAATATTCACAGAATCACAGAACATGCTGAGTTGGAAAGGATCCACAAGAATCATCAAGTCCAACTCTTACCCCTGCACAGGACACCCCAAGAGTCACACCACACAACTGAGAGCATTGTGCAAACACTTGAACTCTGTCAGGCTAGTACTGTGACCACTTCCATGGGAAGCTTCTTCCAGTGCTCTATTTCCTCTGGGTGAAATATCTTTTCCTAATACCCAACCTAAACCTCCCCTGACACAACTTCAGGCCATTCCCCAGGTCCTGTCACTGGTCACCACAAAGAATAGATCAGTGCCTGCCTCTTCCTCACGAGGAAGTTGTAGAGCACAGAGGTCTCCCCTTAGTCTCCTATTCTCCAGGCTGAACAGACCAAATGACCACAGTCACGCCTCACACAGCTTCCCTTCAAGGCCTTTCACCATCTTTGTTACCCTCCTCTGGACACTCTCTAATAGTTTAATGTCTTTTTTATACTGTGGTGGCCAAAATTGCACACAATACTCAAGCTCAGGCTGCACCACTGCAGTGTATTTGAAGGTCTTATTCACTTTGACCAAGAATAAAGGCACATCATGTAATTCCATTCTTCTTCCTCTTAGAAGACTCAAAATAGAATTACTGACACACATTTGAGTCCTGAAAGATACTGCCCTGTAAAAAGCAAAAACATATAAATTACGCTTACTGTAATTCAAATTCCATTTGCACTACAGCCAAAAGTTATCACTAAGTCAATAAAATGAGGTTTTTACAGTACTGGAACCACCATCTGAGAAAATTATATTGTAAATATATTAGAATTGTTACATCACTGAAATCAGATTTGGAGCATTGCTAAATCAGTAGTGAGATAACTAACATAATATGTCAAAATTAATATTAATTCAGTATTTATAATTAATTTGATTTTTGTTGCCAGGTTTGGTTTTCTAGTTTTTTTTTTTTTTAAATGTCGTATGTTGTGCGGCCATATTCTCCTGAGAATCCATTATCTCTATCCACAGTCACAGTCATGAGTCAGACTTCCATTCATCGTGTCTTCTGTTATTATCTTTTTTTACTGTTTTTAAGGGAAACCTATGCAACTGGCTCACTCCAGATGACTAAATTAGATGACTAAATTTAGATGACTAAATAGAGTTAAGTGAAATCCCCAAAGTGATTGCAATTATGTTTTAATTACTTCAGAAAGACAGTTAATAGAGTATCTAACCCAAAGAGGTTGTCACTCCACCCAAATTGAAGTGCACTAAAACAACGTGTTGATGGCTAAATTGAAAATGTCAGCGATCCTGTCAGAAGAATTAATCAGATTTAACAAAAAGTTGATTCCAGTTGACAAATTCTGCTGACCTGAAAAAAATAAACCACCCAACTAATCAATCTTTCAAAAAGACCCAAACCAAAACTTTTTTCTGCTGTTAAAAAACTAGCTCTGATAAGCTTAACCCTTTAATAAGCTTTACCCTTTATAAATAAAAGTCTTATCTCCCTACACTGCAAGAGTATTGATAAACTTATTAATTAATTTCTAACCACTCATACCATCTCTTAAATTCTGACACTATTCCCTCATATTTAAGTATGGTGGTTACCAGATTGACAATTTATAGATGCTTGATATTTTAACTCTTTTTTGACCAATATTGAACTGGTTTTGGTAACATTAGCCTTTAAACTACATCAGCACACTCATCTCTAAAACTCACATTGAATAAATGTTTTAAAAGGAAGACTTCCTAGACTAGCAGAATTCATGTAAATTTGGAACTGTATGTTTGATATGTATTTGAAGAATTCTGACGTTTGGAAGTGGGGAGTTATAGATTCACGCATGTGTAATATTTTAAAAATGGAAGAACTAAGGTTTTAAGTCAGTGTTAATGGAGTTATCTGCATAGCTGTTGAACATTGCTTGAAAAATAAATAGTATAATCTTTCTAAAGCAGCAGATTTTCCATTATCAATAATAACAGATATTAATTTTAATAACATTCTTTCAATACTGAGCTGCAGGAAAAAATGTCAATTATGGGAAAAGCTAGCCTATTCTTAGGCTGAACCACTATATATTAACCACCACTAGTTAATATTTCCAAAATCTAAATTTGCATCTTATTACATAAACATGTAATTTGGAAGTGGCAATATTTAATTCATTTATTGCTGAAGATAATATCCACATTCATCTAAGACCTGAACATTTGACAAAGACATGAACATTTGACATTAGGAAGATGCAATAGATTCCAACTGAAATTCTGCCGATATCAATTTCTGTAAGCTTTATGAAAGTTACTCTAGGCTCTTGCGAACAGAATCCAACCCTTGGCTGTCTTCTCTGCTCCAGTATTATGGCCCAGTGTATTTTTTGTATATGTACCACCACTAATTTAAATCGTGGCCTAAAAGAATCATCTCTTACATATTGGAAAAATATTTTTCTTCTATTCTCATGCAACACGACTCCCATGGGTGGAAATAATTACTAATGCTTAAGTCTCAGTGACAACTACTTAGATTATGTAATAGGAAGTAAACTGATCTGGATTCTGTTTCTAAGAGCATATGACAGGGAATATATAGCAGGCCAAGACTGGAAAACAACTCCAGACTGCAGAGTTCACATTTCATTTATCCCTGCCAATGTGGAAATTGTTACGAGTTTAAGACATTTTCTCTATTACTAATAAAATGGACAAACTTAGGAATGCTTCTGATGACATAGTCTTTTAGAAGTGTGAACTGGGAAATCTAATGAATTATA